GACGAGGATGACGACAGTGAAGAGGAGGGCTACGATGAGGCTAGAAAGAAGAACGCGTAAGCACTGAAAAGCAGATGACAGGCAGAGGCGACCATTAGGGATGGGAAAGCTACAAGCAGCTATAGCTAAGCATTTTGTATTATTTGAATCGGCTACCCCACAGCATGTTTCTTTTGATGATTTTTGAGGAACATGAGTGGGCTGAATGACGCGAGGACAGAGATTTTTGACGGAGGATAGTTTTCGGATCTTGACACGACCGTTACATCTCAATCTTGAGTTTAATTAAAACCTTAATCATTCTTATGTAAAGAATGGGAGAAACCTGGGGCTACTGGCCAGTCTAAAAAAATGTTTTTCTTGTACAAATGCTGTAATTAATGCTGGGGTTCGTCAGAGCTGAAATTGGAGACCAGGGTTTGATGAACCTTGACGGTTGAAAATGACAGGATCTGATAACTTTTTTGTGGGAGCCGATGCAATCTAATGACGTGCCCATGTTACCAGGCTGTCAGGCTCGGTGATCGGAGATAGGCGGGAGAGGCAAAAGAGCGAAGGAATAAAGCGAAATGTTGGGTTATTTGAAGCCATAGGAGACTCGATATTGGTAATGCAGAGAAGAAGAAAACGATACCATCATTTGAATCATCCCCCATTTCAGTACCTAGGGAGGTAATTATTTGGCTACAGCGTATAATTATCTGATCGATCATCTGATTATCAATCAGTAACATCTCCAAAAGGTTGCTGGTATATCCATTACCAATTAATTATTCAAGTGGATCAGTGCGAATCAAACTGTCCCATTCCGAACCGAACCTACGGCATCTGGAGACGTCAACGGCCCTAAAATCTACCGAAAGATCTCTTATTACAACATGACCTTATCATCCTCATCCACACACGACAATCCCCCTCCCTTTACCTCACCTTCAACCTCCATAACAGCCGCTACACCGTCCTGGCTTCCGCAGCACAAGCCCGCGAAGCAAAGAATGGCCCTCTCACTAAAGAACCTCATGGGCTCCATGCTCGGCGGAGGATCTGCAAAACAGGATAGCAAGCCCTCGTCTTCGGAGCTTTTTGCCAAGACGGATCCAAAAGTAGACGGCGAGGAATGTCTGCACGACTGTGAAAACTGCTCCGTGAGGTATCCTAGAGGCTTCAAGATTGAGGAGGAGGATGTGCTGTATGGACTTGTCGAGCCTTGGAGTACGCATCTCCTTGTCGGAACAGGCAAGACGGATTGGGTGAGGGATGTGGCGGATGAAAAGGGGAGTGTAATGGAGGCTTTTTCTAAGGCGACCGAGCCTGCGAATGGGGTGAGTCTTTATCTCATATGAGTTGATGTATGAGACGAGGGTATTTTGCCTCATATCACCACCCATCAAGCTGATGATTGCGGCGCTAACAATCACAGAAACTCAAGCTTTCGGCATCCAATATGCCGACTCCTCACGACACAGATGACTACTCTGAGCCCACAACTCTTTTACTACTGCCAGCCTTCAAGCTTATTCAGAATGTTCACCCTCTCAGTGTGCCTCAGATTGTTACCGAAGTTATCAACCGGGCACCGACTAGCACTTCTCCCCTTCAGCCCACGCCGCTCCCGGCCTCTCTTCCGTCTCCCGACCCGGCCGCCGGGATCCCGGGTGTCTCTCTGAAGGACTGCCCTCACAACGCTGTAATCCTCATGTGCAGTCATCGAACACGCGATGTGCGTTGTGCACAGAGTGCGCCGATTCTCAGGAAAGAGTTTGAGCGCCAGCTAAGGCCGTTGGGTCTGTATCGAGACTTGCATGATGAGAGGCCTGGCGGTGTTGGTATCTACTACATCAGCCATGTGGGAGGACACAAGTACTCTGCCAACGTCATGATCTACCGACGGCCGAATGCATTTGGTCTGGATGATCCGGTTCCTGAGCAGCAGAACGGCACAAATGGCGTTGAAAAGAACGGCAATGGTTCGAACGGTTCAGCAGAGGAGAGTGTGGGCGCATCGCAGGGTATCTGGTTGGCACGTGTCATGCCTGAAGATTGTGAGAACTTGATCCGGTATACAGTCTTGAGAGGCAAGGTGGTCAAGCCTGAGCGTCAGCTACGAGGTGGATTTGATCGTGGTCGAGGCGTCATGAGTTGGTGAGAGGCGAAATGACAAGAGATGGAATATTCCGGACAAAAGGTTGATTGAGGAAGAAAATACCCACGGTTCAACATGATGGGAGGTTCATCAAGCAGCGATGCTAAACTTCTGTTACATGGCGATAAACTGCTCAGATGATATGTATAAAGCATACGACATAGACAGCGAGGACGATTGGTTTCTGCAGGATTAGAGATATTGGGGTTACAATCGAACTTTGTCGACTCGATCTTGCTCAACACTGTACTGTTGCTCGGCAATACAAAGATACGCTCTCACAAATCCCACAATTTTATCTCATCCCTCAGAAGTCAATTCCACTGGATCTCGACCCCAGCCCCAAGCTGTGCAGGCCGCGTCGTCAACCTCCTTGATATCGCATAGAGAACCTTGTTGGAGAAGGATCTGCGCTGCAACACACGTACCTGCAGAACAAAAGAGCCTCAGTTATCGCACGTACTGTATTTTAGACAATGATTGGTGGTGGAGAAAATAGGGAGAGTTGAGACTTGAAACAAACGGTGCTGGCTGTCGGGGAATAGGCTGTGGGGCATGTGTTTTACTGGAGGTGAATTCTCCGTAGGGACTGGTGGAGATGGGTCTTCACATTGTTTCTTTGCGTTACGCGTCGTTTGTTAGAAGCCTGTGGGTTCAATTATGGAGACGGGATACCTCTTGTTTTTGGAAAGATGTCATCCTGTAACAGTGTTGATCATGAATCAAAAAGTATTGCAAGCAAGGTTATAAGAAATCTAAATAAAGAAAGGCCATATTAGTATAGATACAAACAGATAATTGAAGAACAATTAGAGTTGTTAAGCATAAAATCATAGTATATTCACATAAAATGCAGCAATTTGTTATATATCAATACCGTCCAAGCATTCAGCAGAGAAACATCCGAGACCAGACAAGCTTTTACCCTTCCGTACCCACCCATGTAAGCTTCATCAAGACGATACAGACTATCCCCAACTACCGGTCCTCCATCGGCCATACCGGTTCGCTCAAGGCTACCAGCACTGTGGAGAGTCAGTCAACTCATACGCACCATCCTAGCCTCTCATTTTTTTCACATTCCATCACCTAACTTGACTCATGGCTGATCACTCAAGGGTCTCTCGGTATATTCCTCCATCACAGTAAAGATGTGCAGAGCTATCAAGGGGGAAAGTGGCCCGCTGTAGCAACAGATATATAACACCGCCTACAATCTCGTCAAAAAACAGGTTCTTGAGCATTCCAACCCATCATTTCTTCTCTATTCTTGACAACATCGTCCTGGTCTGTGACCCAATAAGCTATCTTTATCTTATATCCTGGTTGTTTGAGCTGGCCTCGTTCGTTATAAAGACTTGAAGTCGTTACCATTCTTTCTCTTGCTCAGATCAAACAACTTTTTCTGTCACTACCTTGAACAAACCGCCAAAATGAAGACTGGTTTCATCACCTTTGCCATTGCCGCCGTGGCTCCCCTTTCCATGGCTCTTCCTTTCCCTCGTGAGTATATGTCTTGTTCAAATTGTCTGACCAGCATACTGAGACTCATACAGAGGCCGCCCCTGGGGGTTTCTTCCCTCCTCCGTCTATCAATGGCACTCAGCCTGGAAACCACAGCCAGTACGGCGGTGGTCAGAACGGAGGACCTGGTGGTTGGTTGCCCGTGCCTGGCAACGGCCAGCAGCCCGGTGGTAAGTGACTATCATATGGTGGAACTCGAACTATACTGACTATCGACAGTTCCTACTCCATTACCTACCCCTACTCCTCCTCCTTCTGCTCCCACTCCTCCTGCTGTCCCTCAGCCCCCTCCCGCTGCTCCTACTGAGCCCATCGTGGCCCCAACTCCCACTCCTTTTGCCCGCAAGTAAGGGTCAAGGTGACAACTTCTCGAACAAAGTTTTCAGATACACATATATGATAGTACATAAATAAAGGGATGAGAGGCTTAGGCTAGATTTCTTGCAGATAAATAGAATGCCGCAAGTCGGCTTGTGGGCGATCAACCAGTTGTCTTGGTTATGTTTGTTCTCGTGTATGTAACTTTCGTGCCTTTGAACTGAAATGAAGCGATCATAAACCCATACTTCTACGGTATTTCGAACTAGCCTTCAGTGACAGCCGAAAGACATTCACAACTTCGTTTTGGTTATGAAAAGTGAGAGTTGCCTCATTGAGCGAGCTTACAACACCTAGGCCAATCAGGAAAAAAGAGTCCCCTCAACAGGGTAAGCTGGATCGAACAAGCCAGATCAGAGTCGTCCTTGAACAGTGATAATTCAAGAGACATACGATTCTCACTTTGGAACAATTCATCCGTGGAGGATTCGATGTTAGAAGCACTTAAATCACTTAAATAGAACCCAAACTGCATCCATTACGGAGATTTGCAGCAACATGCATACCATTTTCTTTTCGTAGCTGAATTCATCTCGTGTCTAAAACCTCCCAAACCTCATGATCAATGCTCTGCTAATCTGTCTGCAGAGAGCTTAGTCTGCACTGCAGAGCCTGAGAGGTGACAATTTCTATCCCTGGATATCCTTATGTATTACGTTATTTTCTTCATTCCTCCAACAAGCTTCTTTCTCATGTTCAATTTCAACTTTAGTTCGGGTTCCACCCGAATCAGAAGACGCGCAACTGCTCAACTCATCACTAACGTCGCAAAAATCGCAGTTAACCGCTACTTCTTCGTGATACTTAACAAAGTCATTACGAAGTTGGATGAATAAGTCCATGCCCTCCAGCCGGGCTAGCTCACGGCGTCCGGCCTCGATGAGTCCCTTTATTTCGACCAATTGCATCTGTTCCTTGAAGAGCCTTTAATAGAAGAGATCTTGACTCTGGTAGCTTAGAAACCCATGGTGCTTATGGCAAATGCCAGGGAAAGTGTCGAGGCCCTCCAGTTTCCCCTTCGCCAAAGTGCATGTACTCGCGAAGGGTCCAGAATGAATTCGTTCCAGCTATACTCCTCGTGTTCTTCAATTAGGAGAATGAGATCGTTCTTAGAAGCCTGGTAGTCTTGATAAACCTCAAGATACTTTTCCTCTAGAGCTTTGATGGCTTTTCTGACACCCTCCTGATACTCAGGGCTGGTCTTGTTCATGCCGTCAGGATCGGGCTTTGTCTTAGAGCTATGAAAGTGAGCATAGGGGAATTCCTGGTAACGGGAGATGGTGCTAGCACTCTTGTCGGTGTCAAGATCGTCGATACTAAGCTTAGAGGCCTCCTCGATAAGATCTGGCACCACAAAGCCGGGGTCCGCCATTGTAGTGTTTTGAATAGGATTGTTTTAAGGATGTGTTTGATATATCTGAAGAGTTGACGAGACTGTGTAGCCAAGAAGGGAGGCCTGGGGTGTTATGAGTCTCCCTTTAAATATGTACTTAGAGTTATGTGTCACTGGTATCACGACAAGCCAGGTCTGAATAAAACGCAAAGCGTTGTTAATCAGGACCAGTGTGTAATGATTCAAAGCGTAATGCCTTGCGTCGATGAGTAGAGTGGTTCTGTGACTGAAGACCCTGAACAACGGTTTAACCGATCATTGTTGTAAGTGATACATATACATATTGTTTCATTCACATGCCATATACTCGGCTTCCTAATCATAAACGTAGTCTATCTTCCATACAAAATGCGTTGCCCATATGCCAAAAGGTCATAACCATATCCAAAAACCAAATAACCCATTCAATGTCGCCATGATATTGCGCCGTTACCCAAATATGAGTGATTCATAAATCAATCATCCAGATATTACCAACCCACCCACGTTCCACCATGATTTTATGTTGTATCCAAAACAAGTGGCAGCAAATAACCACAAAACCGCTGTGCTCAAAAGTATAAACAAGGAAAAAGAACCACCACTGGGTACCAGAAGCTTGAAAGCGTGAGAGGTGATGGGACTAGTCGGCAATGTCGCGGCTGGAGTGGCTGCTTGATGTGCCGCTGCCTGTCACGCTCATGTGGTTCTTGGCCATAGAGACGAGCTTCCAGATGCCGAAGGATACGGCTGCTAAGATGATGAAGAGAATGATAATGATGATGGCGATAACGTCGTTCTTCTTCATGTTGACGGTGATGTTGTGTTTGGTGAGATTGTCTTTGTTGCAAACAATGGATTCAAGAGAGATGTTTCAATCTGAGACAGTTAGTTCAAGGGTCCAATTAGACTGCCGAGGCTCATGGGTAAGCATACCCAGTCAAGAATTATGTCGTGGTAGAGTAGAGTTGAGTCGAAGTCCGAGTCAAGAGGTTGGAGCAGAGTCAACGTAGTGCAACCAGATGAACCAATCAATCACAAAGTCGTACAATGGAGTCGACAAAGTCGTAAACGTCCAAAAAATCTCTCAATTCTTTATTCAAGAAAATAAGCCGTAAGATTCGTTTCTTAGAAAAAAGATAAACAAGATCAGGAACTGGAATGCGCAGTCTCACTCACAAACGGCCACTCACTCTATTATAAGTCGTTGCCCCGCCACCGTCTTTTTCTTGCAGCCCAAAGGTAGTAAATGGCAAGGCTGGGAGGGGGGAGAGCTAAGCTCGCTGCAAGGGTCCCGCTGTGGAGACCTTCAGGGGCCTCTGACACGCTGGAACGTCTTTGGTCTTTTCCCAGCCTCGCAGAAAACGTCACCTCAGGACTTTTTAATTGACTGTGGTCGCGTCGAGACGCGTCTGACTGACTATAAGCCAAGGATCATGAAAAGACCCTGGTGTGCCGCACATCCACGGAACGTGGATATTGCCAAAGCCATGAATGCAAGGCACGATTCTGAGATCTTCACATGAACGTTTGCACACTATTAATTCGCTGCGACTTAATTGCGTAGCCAACACGCTCCTTCATAAAAATACAGGCTTCAAATACACATGCTCCGTGCGCCGTGTTTCTCCAAGATCTGATATGAAGTCTTGTCTGAATACCAATATTCCGTTCATGTCCCCGTTCCGCGTGTAGACGCATGATGAGTCAAATAGAAAAATAGAAACCCATCCGCAACTTAATGGCCATCGCCGATAACGCCGTCCCGTTTACAGTTGCATCGGGTATCAGTACAAACGGATACCTGATAGCGCTGCATAGCTTTCTCTTCGCCCCAATCTCCCTTTCGTCCCTGTACAAATCCCGCTAGTTCTCTGTCCCGTCGACAAGAGCCTTGTTCTCATCTCTAATGATCTTGACATGTCGCTCGTAGAAGTGGAGCATCTGTATTACTTCACGTCAGTGAATGCGACATTTCCAAATCTCCAACTCACTGACCTTTTGTGGGCATTTCTTGTAGATGACGTCGGTGTCGTGCTTGGTCTTGCGGCCGTTCTTCCAAATAAGATAAACGATCAACTTGCCACTGCCTTCATCCTCGCATGCATCAATTGTCTCAATTTCCTCCTCCCACGACCCTGCTGGGGGGCTCCAATTCTTCGCTGTCGCCGGAGTTGCAGAGTTGGCCGGGTGCTCGCGTCGTGATCGCTTGCTAGTAGAGGTTGTGCTGGGGGTGCCATTGGTGGTGGCACGGCGGCGCTTCTTCGTTTTTGATGCTGTTTCAGTCTCTTCAAAGAGTTTCTCGCGGCCACCGAACTTTTCGAAGTAGGCGTCGAGGATTTCCTGAGCAGACTCTCTGGGAAGAACACGTTAGACAAGGCCTTGAGAAAGTCATGCGACTCCATCACCTACCTCAGATTCTCCTCAGGCTCCCACGTCAAATCTTTCTTGGCCTCGTAGCCTTCCCACTTGACTTGAAACTGTAGACTTCCCTGCGGCCGCGATGAGCATGTGACATCGAATTGGGCTATCATTCCCTACGTCGTCGTAGACCATGTGCTTTTTGATAGCCTCAACAACAAATCTGCAACACGTGAGCTTTAGCCCTTTCGACAGGTTCGCTCATGTCTTACTCATCCTCATCCAGATCTTCGTCTTCATCACCGTCCTCCTGGTCGAACGCCTCTTCTGGTTTCGTGTCGTCGAGCTGATCTACCGCAGTAGCCGAGGTAGACTTGCGGCTGCTCGCGCGAGGAGGTGTAGTGAATTCTCCGACATCGGATGATTCCTCATCACTAAGAGCTGAACAATCGTCAGCAATGGCAGGATACCAATTGCGCCGGAATCAAGGGCTATATTGTGTGTTCATTGGAGACGCGATCGCGATACGCCCATCGCTCGTCGCGTGTGACATGCGTCGGCGGTAGTGAATTGCGCAAAAATAATAATAGTAACATACCAGGGGGCATTTTGGATATTCCTGATTGACGTATACTAGTCTGTCTTAAGATACTTTGCAAATGATTGCAAATTTATGGTGTTGACGATGTTGTATTTGAAAACAAGCGGCGGCTGCACCTCAATTCCGCGACTGAAGAAATCACGATCAGTGGAGGTGAGGTAGTCGCGCTTCGCTGGAGAGATAACCCGCTTTTGCAGGAGGCTGTATCTGTGGCTGTAATTGAGGTGTGGCACATATCACGTGACCCGGCGACAACCTCCGATGGGAATGCTTCTCTTTTTCAGACATCAATTAGTCCTGTGCTACTCTATCTCGTCGGCGTGTTGCAGTTCTCGCCAAACTGTCGGTTACTCTTCGTTTGTTCTACCTCCATCTTTGGACTTCCCATTGTAGCTCTCGAGTTATCTCGGCCCCTGTAAAGTGAGTGGAGGGCAAATAAAACCGACGATTGGAGGATGGCCAATTCTGGAATTAATTAAGCAAAAGCAAAAGTTGGCAGAATATGCAAGTAACATCTTATTACGAAACAAGGGGATATTGTCACATACCAGTATGCCAACAACTTGATGCCAATTTTCGTTTCTCTTGTTTGACTTGCCATGACTTGGCATAAACGCCAACTCGAGCTGCAGTGGGTAGCAACTAGTAACGAAGGCCAAGTAGTAGTTGTGGTGCACCAGCGGCTATCATGTATAGTCTCAGGTTAAGTAGAGTTATTTGCCGTCTTGTCGCGCTTGCGGCTCAAGTCAGGGGGTAACAAGAGACAAATGAATGAAGCTCACCATCAAGCTTTGCCAATGTACTGTGAGAGCCGAGCCTCTTCTGTTTTATACCAGAGGCCCTGAGCTGCTCAACTTGGAATGTAAACCCGACCTTGAACTGAACAGGCGAATGGGGTTGATAGATTTAACATGGAAACACGGATGGCAGTACGGATGAGAATTGCCGAGCATTGTATTACCAGATGAAAAGCCAACGCCAGAGAAGCAAGTTGCGTTGCGTTGCGTCAGTTGAAGTGAGGAGCTGCAGGCTGTAATTAAAGATTGCAAGTAAATGACGACTGAGTGGCTCACTGATCTCTATGTGAGATAGTGCTGCAGTGTTAAAGGGGGTTGCAGAAGCTCACCGTCTGCTGGTCCTATGTCGTGTCTCGGACATGGATCCTATGCCTAACAGCAACCCCATGGTCGGTGCCACCCATGCTCCTACTTGAAAGCCAATCTTGTGCAAGTTTGGGCGCCTAGCGCTCAAGGACTGCCGATGGCAGCGCCCAGTCGGTTCAGAATTTGTTTCCCCAGGCCACCTCTGTCTCTTTGTTTGGGGTTCAGAGACGAGATGTCGCTGGCTGCTTGGAGCGACAGATGTTTGAACCTTGTACCAGTTTATCTTTTGTCCTTGGTTGAGACGTGCCCGACATGCTTGCTTTGACTTGACTTTAGCACCAATAAGCTTACATAAAGGGGCTGCACTTGGGGAACCAACTGAACCCACTCTATTACGATATGCAGGATTGAGGCGTCATCAAAGGCGGGCTGAAAGTCCAATTGACAAAGGTAACCAAACGGTGGAAGTAAGGGATGTCTCGTAAGGCACGGAGTAGTAAACGCCAGATCCACGATCGATAGGATTAAGGCCGATCTTAAGGCATTATGTGTTGATTCAATAAATACATACATAATTTTCGCTTTCGTATGAAAAGGAGCTCGTATTACGGACTGGATCTCAACAAGCTATCAGCCTTTGAAACTTTGATTGACAGCAATGCAAGTGGAGCTTGTGAAATAATCAACGGTCATGATGACTTTACCGTAATTCGGTCACATGGGAATGAAGAATTAGTTACGGAGCAGTTGATAGAATTTTAGCTAAGGCGGCCATAATTTTAGAACGAGAGATTGTCGTATTTATAGCTGCATATCCTCCTCCCTTTTAGCGACCCTGAGCCGATCACCACCAATGCCGATATCCAAATTGAGCTGACAATGGGACTTTTGATGAAGTTCATACATTCTCAAAAACGTTCTCTTCAAAAAATATTTACAATTGAGCTTAAGCTCTATTGATCACATCATCTCTCAAGATCTTCCCGTTACAACCCCTAGATCAGACTGCTCGCCCTGCCCTCCCAGGAACCTCAGCGTCTGGAGCATCCATCAGCGACAGTTGCACCTCCCGACGGCGCTAGGACGGACCTCTTAGAGCAGCCCGATCAGCGCTAAGCGAGCAGCGGGAGAGACATCCAGACGGCGGGACGGCCACTAAGCGTCAGGGGTACCGTTGGTGCTAACAGCGCCAATCTGGGGCCTGGGGGTCTTGGTTGGATCCGCCCCTGAATGGCCCGGAGGAGGAGAGGAGCGAGGAGGCTTTATTTTAAAATGGAGAGGGGGAAAAAACCAAAGAACAATTAAACCTAGCGATGCTAAGAGACCTGGCTTCCCCTTTAGTCTCCCGCCGCCTCTAAACTTCCATTGCCTTAACCTCTCGAGCCTCTATCTTCTTTTCCTTTCATCCTTTCTTTCTTGTTCTCCCTTCCCGTCCGCTCTTTTGGCCTCTCTCAGCTTCATAACAAACTCCCCACCGCCTCCTTCCACTCCTTCAACAATCTTGCTCTGTAATTTTGCATGAACGTCCATTGAACTTCCCTTGCGCCCGGAGGTCTCGGCCCCAATACGCTCGTTCTTTTCTCTTCAACCTTCGCTCGCTACTATACTTATGATTGACGCCTGTAACGCTCCCCAATTGGAGCTGCAGCCGCTTTTTACACTCTTGTAGTTACTGCCTACCGAGACCTTTCCCCCACGGCCACCGTATTTTCGTATCCTTCTCCCCCTAATTTTCGATCTTGGGCCCTTCTGATACCTACCTATCTTCAAAATGCCCGAATCTACGCCCCAAACGGCCGACTCAGGAACACCCAAGGCTGGTGCCCCTAAGGACAAGAATTGCCCCTTTTGTGGGCAAGCATTCACCTCTTCTTCGCTCGGTCGCCATCTCGATCTGTATATCAAGGAGAAGAACCCAAAACCCGCGGATGGAATTCACGATGTCGATGCTATCAGAAAGCTTCGTGGTGGCATCACCAGACGACAGCCCCGGGGTTCCCTTGGCGGGAAGCGTGAAGCCTCAACTCCAGTGGGAACGCCCAGGGCACATGTCGTAAAGGATACACCCCTTCCCGAGAATGAAGACTTTCAATCCCCTGTTCTCTCCAAGGATAATCAGCTCTCCGTTGATTCGACCATGACATATGCGCCAGCTTTTCAGCCAACATGGGAGGCGACGGGCGTTATGAACGACATCCCGAAACGGGGCAGCTGGGAGAGTGATGCCGCACCTGAGCCACCAAAACGCCCTGGCATGCAACGTACTGTCAGCAAACAGGCCATTCAAAAAGCCCAGTTTGATGTCAAGCAAAAACTTTCAGACGCTATGGATACAGCCCGTGCCGCGGAGCTCGCGTTAAGGGAGCTCCTCAGCTCTTGGAGAGCAGCCAAGTATGAATTCACGTTTTTTTTTTAAATAATGATTTTGCTTCTGTAGTGCTAACAAGATGGACAGGGTACAACTTGACAGCAACTCGATGCCATTCGATTTCGATCCCCTATCTCTCGATTTCCCTGCCCTCACTCTTCAATGCCTACAGCCTCCACCGACTCTTTTCTCGTCCACGCAACACCCCACCTCCACATCTTGGTCAGTCCAATCGCCAGGTCACCGCGAATATGAGGCTCTGCGGACTTACTTCGCAGGAGAGTTCAAGGCTTGGAAAGTAACCTGTGCTTCTGCTACCACCGCCGTCATGGATGAGTTCAAATATCCCCCTTCGACAAATAATAATTTCCGAAACCCTCGGGAGTCGATCCGCAAGGCTGAGAAAATGGCCGAACAACTTGAGGCGCAAATCGATGAACACCTCCAGTCAGCATACGCAGTATGGGAGACTCTCCCCATTCAACGGCAGCAAGAACTTTGGATTCTGGAGTTAGCCCGCGGTGTAGGAAGAAAACACAAGGAGGCCGAGAAAATGAAGGAGAAGCAGCACAGACTCAAGCAAGAGAATGCCAACCTCAAATCCCAGATTGAGCAACTGAACAAGCTACAGCAACCAAAGGAGTTCAGGCTTGCGCCGCCAGTCACGATTCCGCTAGAGAGGGAGCTACTTTCCCTTTCTTACGAGCAGGCTGTCAAGGGCGGAAGGGCTGTAGGTTTCTCTATCGAGGATAGCCAACTCGACCTCGGTTCTCTCGTGACAAGATCCATCGAGCGCTGGAAGAGTGTCATTGCTTCTTCAAGGGCCAATGCCGCTGGGATGAACGCCCAGAGGACGTTGGAACAAGCCAGCCAGAATCAAGCCTCTTCCCCTGCTATCAACGGCACTCAATCAACGCCACAAATCCAGACGCCATCTCAACCACATTTTCAAGCACAACAGCAACAGCAGCAACATCAACCGCAACGACCACAGCTTGCCAAACGACAGTCAACAACTAGCATTAACGGTGCTCCAAGCGAGCATGCCACTACTTCAGCTTCGACAACTGGCCCATCATCGATTGCCGAGGCCAGTGATCAAGATGCCGATGCAGAGATGGAGGATGATGATAGCTTCGCCATGGTCAACGCGTCTCCAATCAAGCCTCAACCACCTGTCCAGCAACAAGCAACTCTAGAAGTACCACGCACGCGGCCGGTCCAACAACAGCAACAGCAACAACAACGAGCCGCACAGTTTATGATGCCCAACGGAACTGGGAGCCCTATCAACCGAACCGCCATTAATATGAGTCGTTCGATGCCAAATATGAATATGGCAATGCAAAATGGAGCAATGCATGGTGCAGATATGGCGATGGCCATGCAGGGGGTACGCGGGGATGCCATGTTTTTAGAATAAAACAATGATTTCAGTTGGGCGGCTAAAGTTGAGAATCACAATAGCTGATTGGCTAACAAAAATACATATAAGTAATGACGAAGACTCAGAGCTAGATACATCTTGCTCATGATTCAATAATATGACCAATTCGGAGAGCTCACTACTTCTCTTGCTTCGTTCTCGTGGTCTTTTGCCGTATATAGACATTTCTACCAATGATTTTATCTGTGGCTGAGCTCGCTCAAGAATGAATGCCTGACTGAAAATTTACCCCGCGATTGTGGCGCCCAAACCAATGGATTTCTTCTGCCCCTCCAATGCCCTGACTGTTTCCACTGACTCACCACATCCATCACGGCTTGACTCAATTTGCCGGCAGCAGAGACTTAAATCAGGAACTGTCGCCTGATTTGGAGATCTGCCATTTCAATTATCCCCACCGCGAAACGAGACGCAATCATGGCTGACGCTGCTGCCCCCCCGACCGAGCAGGTCTCCAACCTGCACCTCGATGAGGTAACTGGTGAGAAGGTCTCCAAGACCGAGTTGAAGAAGCGCCAGAAGGCCCGCCAGAAGGAGGAAGAAAAGAAGAAGAAGGCTGCTGAGCGCGGTCCTGCTCCTGCTCCCAAGAAGGCTGCTGGTGGTGCTGAGGCTGCCGAGAAGGACCTCACTCCCAACCAGTACTTCGAGATTCGATCAAGGAACATCAACAAGCTCCGCGAGACCAAGAGCCCCAACCCTTACCCTCATAAGTTCAACGTCACATACGACCTGCGAAACTTTGTCAAGGAGTTTGGCCACCTCAAGTCTGGCGAGCATGCCAAGGACAAGATCATCCAGATCGGTGCCCGTGTCCACGGAAAGCGAGCATCCGGCTCCAAGCTTCTTTTCTATGATGTCCGAACAGAGGGCGTCAAGGTCCAGATTATGTGCCAAGCGCAAGAGGTGCGAGAGGGAGCTCCCGCTTTTGATGCCCAGCACGAGCACCTCCGCCGAGGTGATATCATTGGTGTTATTGGCTACCCCGGCCGGTAAGTTACTAACTATCCTAGAACCGGAACACATACTAATTAACTGTAGAACTGCCCCTAAGACCAAGATCGAGAAGGGAGAGGAGGGTGAGCTGTCAATCTTCGCGACTGAGGTCGTCCTCCTGACTCCTTGTCTCCATGCCCTCCCTGATGATCACTACGGCTTCAAGGATCTCGAGCAGCGATACCGCAAGCGATATCTCGATCTTATCTGCAACGAGAAGGCCCGTAATGTCTTCATCACTCGATCCAAGATGATCACCTGGATCCGCCGATACTTCGACGAGCGTGACTTCGTCGAGGTTGAGACTCCCATGATGAACCAGATTGCTGGCGGTGCCACTGCTAAGCCCTTCACTACTCACCATAATGAGTACGACATGCAGATGTTCATGCGTGTCGCTCCTGAGCTATACCTCAAGATGCTTGTTGTTGGTGGCCTTAACCGCGTGTACGAGATTGGACGTCAGTTCCGAAACGAGGGTGCTGATCTCACCCACAACCCTGAGTTCACTACCATTGAGTTCTATCAGGCCTACGCTGATGTCAACGACCTGATGGACATCACTGAGGACATGGTTTCTGGCCTTGTCAAGTACCTTACCGGTGGCTACAAGACCACCTTCCACACCCAGACCGGCGAGAAGTACGAGGTCAACTGGGAAAAGCCCTGGCCCCGATATGAGATGATTCCCACCCTGGAGGAGGCCACCGGAGAGAAGTTCCCTCCTGGCGACCAGCTCCACACACAAGAGACCAACGAGTTCCTCAAGAAGGTCCTCAAGAAGATGAACCTGGAGTGCACACCTCCTCTCACCAACGCCCGCATGATTGACAAGCTGGTCGGTGAGTTCATCGAGGAGAAGTGTGTCAACCCCTCTTTCATCACTGGTCACCCTCAAGTCATGAGCCCTCTTGCCAAGTACCACCGTGAGATTCCCGGTCTGTGCGAGCGTTTCGAGGCCTTCGTTTGCAAGAAGGAGATCGCCAATGCCTACACTGAGTTGAACGATCCCTTTGACCAGCGTCTGCGTTTTGAGGAGCAGGCTCGCCAGAAGGACCAGGGTGATGACGAGGCTCAGCTCATTGACGAGAACTTCTGTACCTCGCTTGAATATGGTCTGCCTCCTACTGGTGGTTGGGGCATGGGTATCGACCGAATGGTCATGTTCTTGACTGATAACTACACCATCCGTGAGGTTCTTGCTTTCCCCTTCATGAAGGATGATAAGCTGGAGCAGAAGAAGCTTGCCGCCGAGGTTGTTGGCATCGAGCCCATGCCTGAGGAGGGCATTGGTAAGTATGACCACTCTTGAAACCGAGGATAAATTACTAACTTATTTGTGTAGCTCACAAGTAAAACGGGAAAACGGGATTTACTGGGTTAACTGATAAGTTGGATTGCATGATTTTACGCTGTGACAACGACATAAGAATGGTCAGATTTCCAGTCTGATGGAATTAGAAAGAAAATAAAATGCTTTTATAAAACCATGTTAAGAATTCTTCTAAGAGTCGAGTGTATCCAAGATGTTCATTATATGTGTCGTTTGGCTAGCTTACCAGCTTTCCGTTTCGTTATTCTATTGATGCTATTGGGTACCATATTGTACAAGAATAATATACATGCTGTTCTTCGGCATCTTACAACGCCACCAATTCGTTTATTTGGCAGCAGCCTGCTTCAATCGCTGCTCAAGGAGACGAAGAGTGGGCTTGGGAATATGTAGTCTGTGAGCCAAAACCAGAGCCATGGTCAACACACCAAGAGCACCCGCCTGATGAGCTGCGGCGAGGGAAATTGGTACCATATAGATGAGAGTGCTGATGCCGAGGGCAACCTGCAAAGACACAACGTGGAAAAGGCCATCGGCGCCCTTCTTGATGTTGGCGGGGAGGATAGCCTTGACACGTCTCGTGCGCGCGTAGATGAAGAGCGAGAGAATGGAGCAGAAGGTAGTCACAGCAAGAATTCGGTGGTTCATCTGAACAGTGCTGGGGTTCTCGAGCATGTTGCGCCACCAGAGATCAGACTGGTCCTCCTTACGAGAGTAGAACTTGTCCCAGAGTTCCTGCTTAGGTGGGAAGAGACCAAGACCCATCTTAGGGAATTCGTTGTAGATCAGACCAGCATCGAGACCGGCAACAAGACCACCAGACATGGCAGTAATGAAGGTCAGGGTAGCAAGGGCGAAGACGACACGGCGCATAGTGCGAAGTCCGGGCTGGCTCATAGCAGCGATCTGTTTCATGGCTGCTTCAGGGTTCGCGAGCCAGCGACGAGTTCGGAGAACGGTCAAACCAGAGAGAAGCATCCAGGAGTAGCAGACAAAGGCGGTAGCAAGGTGAGTGGTGAGGCGGTACTGAGAGACTCGAGGGTGAGAGCCAGGAGCAAACAGATCATCCTTGAGACCAGACTTGACCATCCACCAGCCGATGATACCCTGGAAACCAATCAATGCAGAGATTCCAGCAAGATTCAGTGCCATTTTGGGTGTAACTTTGCGACGAGCGACGAGGTAGGCGGTAGGAATGACAAAGGTCAGGCCAATGAAGCGACCCCAGACACGGTGAAACCATTCCATAAAGTAGATCTTCTTAAATTCTTCGAGGTCCATATGAGGGTTGAGAAGCTTGAACTCGGGCGATGCACGGTACTTTTCGAACTCGGACTCCCAATCTTCTTTGGACATGGGAGGAAGCGAACCAGTGACAGGTCTCCATTCAGTGATACTCAGGCTGTTTTGACGTTAGCTGGCTATTCAATTGTCTGCAACAGGCGTAGAGAAGCATACCCAGACTCGGTCAAACGTGTTAGACCACCAAAGACGACAATACCAAAAACACTAACAGCGCTGCCGAGGAGCCAGTAGCCCACACCCTTCGGGTTGGACTCAGGCCATGCTTTCTTGGTAGCTTGAGAGACAGAGGGAGATGCGCGGGCAGAGACCTGCTCGGCGATAGTTCCAATTGGCTTGTTGATAGCGGAATCGGCATAGGATCGTGATCGGACAGCGTTGAGAACGCGCGAGGGCATGCTCCGGGGAGCACTTCGAAGGCATTGGTTGCAGACAAAGAACTTTGAAGGTCCAGACGCTGTGGTTGTGGCCTGGAATAGTAACCTCCGGAGCCCGGGGGCAAAGGAAGACGTCATGATCGAAGCCAATGTTCAGAGGTTGAACGAGGAAGGTTGAGAGAATTCGACTTGGAAGACGAAGAAGAAGTGGCTCACTTATAGATCATACGAGACCTTGGCCATAAATTCGACATCCGATGTGACTCGGTATTCGGTGCTAGACCTGGTCCGTAGTGGGAAGGCCCCTGTGGTCTTCAGTGGGATCGACCCCACTAGAATCAGCAATTTACAACGTCTATGATAGGCTTATCTCAGACGCCATTTACACTCCATTACCCGCATGGGTACGTATAGTGCCCCGCCAAGGGTCATCTCACCGCCAAACTTTTTTACACGGCAGAAAAGTTGGAAAAAAGTGTTGCTCTGAAAGCTGTGTCGACGCCATTCAACCATTTCACGCCGGTCCGCGCAACGCCCATAACTCGATAAATTGGATACCAGCACTTGGGAATAACGATGGGCGGAAGACAGGCTCACGGGCGACCCCTTGTCGCAGCCCCCAAAGCCAAGGCCGGCAACAAAAAGTCCAAGGCAAGATCACAGAAGAATGCGCTCGATGCATTCGGTATCGCACAGGAGAACTTTGCGCCGAGACAGAAGCGAACGCCTCGAGCACGAGAATTAGACGCTGAAATCGAGCGAAAGCATGGTCGCGACGAAGAAGAGGACGATGAGGAAGAGGAAGAGGAGGAGCCGCAGAGAAAGAAGGTCAAGAGACCTAGTCGGCCAACAAACGACGATGCCGATGATGGAAGCGATAGTGAAGGAAACGAATGGCGACTGGGAGGTCTAAGAGAGGATGACGAGGACTCGGAGATTGAGAGCGACGATGCGTTTGGCGACAGTGATGAAGACAAGTTCGAGGGTTACACGTTCCGCGGCAGCAAAACAACACAGCGTGAGGTAAGTGTGTTCTGTTTTCGAACAGCTGATAGTAGTCTAACACCCAAAAGGACGATGACTCAGAGGACGATTCCCAAGACGATGAGGGTGAAACACTCGGCGCAGATGCTATCGATCTAGCAACAGCTCTGGACCAATTCGAGGAGTCAGACGATGAACCCGTGCAGAAAGATCACTCCGGATCGTCAGAGTCTGAAGACGATGCATCCGACGAATCGGAAGAAGATGACGAAAGTGACGATGATGAGAGTGACGATGAGGAAGCCAGTCCGGAGAAGCTCGAGGCCCTTCAAGGCATGATCAAAGGATATGGAGGTCAAAAGGACGATGAGGACGATAAGCCTAAGTCAAAAGCCAAGATTAGCCTTGCTGATTTAGGAATGACGGGCATCAACGACGTCAACGTAAAGAAATCTATGAAGCTGATGAGCAAAGAGGAGAAGGAGAAGCGTCCCGGTGCTTCCAAGAAGCTGGCTGTGCCTTTGGCAAGGAGACAGCAAGACCAACTTGATCGAAGTGCAGCCTACGAAAAGACCAATGAAACCCTGGATCGATGGAACGACACCGTTAAGCAAAACCGAAGAGCTGAGCATCTTATGTTTCCTCTGCCTCAGAACTCAGCGACTGCCGGTCTCGATACTACCGAGATACAGCCTCTTAATGTGTCAAAACCTAGCAACGAGCTTGAGTCTGCTATTATGTCCATCATGGAGCAGAGCGGTCTCACAATGGAAAAGCCAAAAAAGCCAAAGGAGAAGGACTATGATGAAGAGGGCAATGAGCTCACCCGCAAGGAAGCTCTTGCACGCAAGCGTATGGAACGCGAGCTCAACTCTCGAGAGGCTAAGCGAGCCAAGCGCATCAAGAAGATCAAGAGCAAGGCATACCACCGTGTGCACAGAAAGCAGCGTGAACGCGATGAAATGGCTACAAAGGAGGCTATGGAAGAGGCCGGCGAGATTGACTCTGAAGCAGAGCGTGAAGCGCAAGATCGTCGACGAGCGCTGGAGCGTGTTGGCCAGCGACACAAGGAGAGCAAGTGGGCCAAGATCGGCTCCAAGACAAAGCGGGCCGTATGGGACGACGACTTCCGCGCTGGTCTGACTGAGATGGCGCGTAAGGACGAGGAGCTTCGAAGGAGAAAGGAGGGTCGTGCTGGCGGCTCTGACGATTCGTCTGAATCAGATAGTGACTCTGATGGTGGCGACGCCTCCCTGCGTCGACAGCTGGCGGCTCTTGAGGAAGAAGAGGATGAACCTCAGAAGGGTCTAATGGGCATGAAATTCATGCAAAAGGCCGAGGCCGCTAAGAAGGAGGCGAACGATGCTCTCATCAAGCAGATCCGACGAGAGCTTGATGGTGAGGAGTTTGATGGTGATGCTGATGAGCTGGAGGAAGTGGGCCGACGTCAATATGGTGCTGCAGATGGCCAGCCGTTCAAACCTGCTCTCGAGAAGTCAACCAAGGTGTCTAAGAAGCGCAAATCTGAGGATGCCGATGATGATGATGATGACGACGATGTCATAATAACCACCAACGGCGCTGGCATCAACCCTGCTATTCCCAACATTACATCCCTCTCCGAACCTGCCGCTTCAGGAACCACAGGCGCATGGTCCCGCGGCGAGACACGCCGTAAGAAGAAGGGCCAGTCTCACACAAACATTGGTGATCTCGACCTCACATCCAACGTCCTTGTCGCCTCCAAGCCTAGCAAGTCCAAATCCAAGTCAAAAACACAGACTACAGAGGATGCTTCAGACGTCGAATCTGAAACAGACCTGCATCTACCTATGGCGATTCGCGATCAAGAAATGGTTGCTCGTGCCTTTGCCGGCGAGGACGTGGTCGGTGACTTTGAGGATGAAAAGACAGCTATCGCTGAGGAAGAGGACGACAAGGTCATCGATAACACACTCCCCGGTTGGGGATCATGGGTTGGTGATGGCGTGAGCGCCAAGGAGAAGAAGCGTCACCAGGGCCGTTTCTTAACAAAGGTTGATGGTATCAAAAAGAAGGATCGCAAGGATGCCAAGCTGGACAAGGTCATTATCAACGAGAAGCGCATCAAAAAGGTAAACAAGCTCACTTTCACTCCTCGTCTATACAACATGCACATGCTAACAACTTCCAGAACGACCGTTATCTCGCATCTCAGCTCCCTCACCCCTTCGAGTCCCGCCAACAGTACGAGCGCTCCCTGCGTCTACCTGTTGGACCAGAGTGGCAGACGAAGGAGACCTTCCAGGACAGCACCAAGCCTCGTGTGCTCATGAAACAGGGCATTATTGCACCCATGTCCAAACCTACTATTTAGAATTTTCGATATATATTCTGACATACATACATTGGCGTTTTGAGAATCAAAAGCATCTTTCATCTACATCCTCTGCAATTGAAGCTGTGTTCTGTGTGATGTCTTGTATCCTGGTTTTGTAAGAAATATCGGATGGCTTGAGGTGTATGGCAACATTCTTGCCATCTTGTACAGATACGTGATGAATGTCGATTGCGCCAACTCATTTAATGAGTAACACATCTCGTCCACGCCGACTTATCTCACTCAACGAGACTTTGTAGTGTCGATCAGTTAATTTCATGTTCATCTTCCTTGTCACTCGGCATTCGTGGATTGGCATTCAGCTCACGGCTTCACTCATAGGTTTAACGTCCATCTGGCGATTTCCCGCTGACAGGTAACCTTCAAAGAAATCACTTGATCATAGTGTTTCAGAGACTGGCGACATTATTGCGACTACCTCACCAGTGACTGTCAAAGAAGAGATCAATCTGCGAAAATATTGATTAACTATCCGATCAACCTTTCCGTGCCTGAATTCCATCTCCGACCTCGCAGTCCAATGATATAAGCAAGAAAAAATCCGATAAGCACAGAGACCGGCAAGGCCATTTACTATCCCTCGTTTCTTTTGACGCAATGAAATTTCGCGAATGCGACTGAACCTCCCTATTCCTCTCCCTGTTTCATTCCAGAGTTTGATGGAGTGTCTGGGGCTCCCAAGAAGCAGTCCTGTCCAGCGGACTGCATCCGCTTAGTAATACAAATATGAAAGTTGACTCGATTATCCGACTGTCGTCTTTTGGCAGATCGTTGAAGCCACAGTTTTCGGTGGCATTCCTGGCTATCCAGAACAAGCTTCTTGATGAGACAAGTCACTCGTTGGTAGTAAAAACATGTTTAAAACATTAGTTGATTGATGATGATTAAGACATCAGGGGAACTCTAGCATTTAGTTGCCGGGGTCCAAGACATCGGATGGAGTGGCATAGAAAGCCAATGCGATGATAATATAGAGACCCATAAGCATAGCACCCTCCAGGTAGTTGGATTTGCCATCCTGGACAGTATACGTAACAACGAGGACAGAAACTCCAAAGGCAACAGTTTGGACTGGGAAGTTTGTCAGTAAATATTACACAGAAAGGAAATGGATTAAACTCACAAGTCTCGAAGTGAAGAGTCATCGGAGCACCAATGATCCAGCCAACAATGACGAGGAAGGGCGTGACCAGGAGGGCAATCTGGATAGAAGAACCAACCGCAACACCCATGGCAAGATCCATCTTATCACGGAGGGCGACGACGACAGCAGTGACGTGCTCAGCAGCATTGCCAACAATGGGAATCAAGATCAAACCAATGAATCCTCGGCTAATTCCGGAGGTCTTGACAAGATCATCAATGCTGTCAACGAGGTAATCGGCACAGACAGTGACGAGAACGGTAGTGACACAGAGGACGGCAATAGCGGCAATGGGTCCAATAGTAGGCTCCTCTGGCTCAACTTCCTCGCCGTCCTCGTTCTGGTTCTCGGCGTCGAAAAGGTTACTGTGTGTTCGGAGCTGGAAGACGAGATATAAGACGTAGAGCAGGAGAAGAATGATGGCAGTGCCGCGAGAGAGTGTGAGGATGCTCTGGGCCTTCTCCTTGGAACCACTCTGGTCAAGAACTGCGTAGAGCTATAAAAGTTAGTCGAGTTTTTGAGCAGGGTTCAATTTGACATACAGCAGCGGGAATGACGAGTGAGGCTGAAGACAGTGTCATAAGGGAGCAAGTTGTCTGTGCAGTAGCTGAAGAGAAGGACTGCTCTCTGCCATTGCCCGACTCGCCTCGATGAATGATACCACCGAACAAGAAGCACATTCCCATGACCAGAAGAAGGTTAGAAAGAATGCTACCAAGCATAGAGGCCTGGACGAGCTCAATTTCGTTTCGCTGGAGAGCAACAATGCTGACCTAAATGAACGATTAGTCGTGATATATGAAGTGAAGGTCGGTGCATCATACAATAAGTTCCACGGCATTTCCGAAGGTAGCATTCAGGAGTCCACCAAGAGTCTCACCAAGCTTCATCGAGAACTCTTCTGTCGCAAACGACAGCACAGCAGCGAGTGGGATAATAGCGAAGAAGTTGATGGTAAAAACGGCAGTAGAACCCCAGCCCATCTTACCAGCAACAATACCAAGAGGTACCATGACCAGGAGAAAATTGACATAGTCTATTAAACAAAGTCAGTTGTGTATGCGACCGTACAGCGAGAAGCGCCAACATACTGCTGAGAAGGGTGACCTTGGCAATGTGCCAGGAGTAAGCCAGACTCCTTACGGCAATGTTGCTGTTATCAATACCAGGTGTATGCTTCGAGTCGAAGAGGAACGTCATGGTGCTCGAGTCTCGGCTGAGACTGATATGGCCGTTGCCATTGCGGTGACCGAGGGTGTCATTGAGGGCCGACGAGGCACCGCCATTAAGGAGCGGGCTATTCTCGTCGGCTGTATGGTTGTGAGGTTTGGCAGACATTGATCGTCTGATCTGAAGGTTGAAAGATGGAAGAGCTGTTGGTGGTGATCAAGGCACCGACATGGTCAGCGGATGAGTCTTTGATATAATAAATGAGTAGTGAGAAAGCATCAAAAGGCGGAGTCGACGGTTGTTAAGCAATAAGCGACGGAATACAAAGAAGTCCTCAACAGGGCAAGTCTCAGAAGATTGGGGTAGGCTGCATGGTAGGCTGACAATTGGACCTGGGCCTGTAGAGCCTAGATCGCTTGGCCTTGTCTCCATGGGGCGGGTGCTTTGAGCTTGTTTGTTCTCGACATGGAAAGGAGCGGACCCTGCTGCGCCTTCCTTGATGCGCATGCACAGAGATGCAAAGTGAAGATCATGTCTGAAGCTGGCGCGTAGATAGGATGGCGATCACGGCAGTGCATTTAGGTCCAACTGACAGCGCTTGCCGAGAGAGGGAGGACGATAATGACAGACTTGGAGATGGGGGGAAGATACAGGAACGGGTGGACTCGAGCTGACGGGAAGAAAGCCCGTATTAGGCATTATCGCGTCCCGAATAAACTCACTCTTTCACTCGATAACTTGTACCAGGTGACAAGTCCCGTATCCGTTTCCGTGTACAAAGAAGTAGGAACCGAGATAATTGAAATTGACGTAGAAGTGAAGTTGAAAGAAGGATAAAACGATGTGGGCACCGAGTGGTAAAGGGCAATAACGTACAGGGATAGAATATCGTGAGTGGCGCCGCCTTTGAGACCCCCGTGTGAAAGAAGCTAATCTTGCACTTTGTCTCGTTCTGGCTGGTGTGTGGCACTCTGTGCTCAGATGCAGGGATGGTGACGGTGATGAGATGGAGATGTGGACGGAATATGGAGATGGAGATGGAGCAGGTTTAGAAGATGTGTAGATGAGGATCTGGTTTTGATACCAGGGCATTGGATGTTTACTTTGTGCGTGATAGAGGAATAGGTAGATAGACTTTGAGGAAACCGTCGTTGCTTAGGTGCTTGCTTGATGCTTAATGATCGAGGAGAGCAAAAAGAAAAGGCTAAATGCAGATGCAAATGCAGATGCAGATAGGCATTTTACTTACAAACCATGATTGCGTCGAGCTTTCTCACAGCCAATTGATTGATTGATGAGTGTGTATGCGGTTTAAAGGTTGAACGGCCACGGGATTGATTGAGTCGGTCTGGAATGAGCGAAACAGAACGAAACGAAACGAGTAACGAAGCGGATGACGATCCAATCCAAAGACAATGTTTGAATAGAGGCAGGCAGGCAGGCAGGCAGGCAGGCAGGCAGGCAGGCAGGCAGTGTGTTGTCTGTCTGTCTCTTCAATTGTCTTTCTTTCACCCCCGCTCAACGGAGTGTGTACGTTACTGTATGACAGTCTAAGGGAAGAATAGCGTCGGCGGGTAAAAAGAAGCGGGCGTAGGTATCTAAGCTACACAGCCCTGGGAATCTCCAACAATTAGACGACGGGTGATGATGCTGTTGATGCTGATGGACTTGAAGGTGGTGGTTGTGTTGCAGGAACGAAGAGAAACAACCCGCGTTGCCCCAGGAGGCCTCCTTCCTTGGTTATGGTCTGGTTGGGTCTGGGTCTGGTTACGCAAGGAAAAAAGCTTAGCTTGGCCCTGGAAGAGCAGCCGAGCGAGTTGACGTAGGACATGGGTTCCTAAGCGGATCGGCAGGGTTACATCAGCCAATCCCATCCGGCCACTGACAAAAGAAGCTGGGCATCAACCACTGAGCTACCCATTGAGTGAGCTGCCAAGCTCCCCACTTTCCAGGAGAGCTCCAGGTTGTCCTGTCACTGATGCTCAATTATTCGGCGCAACGCTCTAAGCTCCATCGAGAAACTGCCGATTCCAGCTATCGACGCAGCGGCCCAAGAAACAAGTTAGATTAGCTGGTGGCTGAGCAGAAAAGCTTAAAACTTTGAATCTGCAAGTGCTTTTTCTTTGTCTTTTGTCTCTGCCATTGTAAATCTCGTCAAGGAAGGGAATTGTCGAAATTAACGCACCTTCTGAATTAATCCAAAATCATCAATAGTTGTACGCCTCGCAATTCTCCTTCCTCTTGGCATCTTTGGGACCCCTGTTTTTTTGCGGGCAGATATAGTATAACTAAGGTACGGATATGCAAGATACATTCATTATGAGTGGCTTTATACATCAAACGTCATGTAACTTATGCCGGAGTCCATCGGCTTACGACATAATAGACTCCGCCATAATTCCATGTTTTTTTGTTTCGCCTTGCGCAACCGTTCAGTCCTGTCCATTCTTGTCCGACGCTGCCGTGTCGCTGGGATTTACGCCAATGGACAACTCGTCATATGTAACTCCAAGTTAAGCAAGAAAAACTGTTACACCGATTCTCAACTTATGTCTTGTCTCATGTAGTGTTCCTCTCATCGGTGTGCAGACTACCTTAGTCAGATAACAGTGACCAGTTTATCATCCTCTCAAACACATTAAAAAGAAAGGTCTGTAGCACTCAATGTTTCAGGCATATGCAGACTTCAAACTGCCCCATAATCATTTCCCACTTGGTAGCCTCCATACTTGTTCACCTACGAACCTGTCACTCTCTTCCTCTTCTTGGTCAAATTCGAGGCGGTGTTAACAACCTGTTTCTTGGCGATCATCCACATCTCACTTCCCCTTGGCGCAAATCTTCATCAAGGGTCGTCATGGCTGCGCCCCAATCAAGCCAGGCCAGATAGTCACCTTCTCAGTGCCAGCACGTGGGTTCGATTGATCCCAGATATCCGAGTTCCGGTATCATCAATACAAGGTATTCACACTTCATCGGACTTCGGGGCTTTTCAAGCCTCGTCCTCCGACGTTCGTTAACGGCTTAAAGGTAACCAATGAAATTCTAACGGCGCCCTGTCTAGGGTCTAACATCTGCCTCCCGTCTGTCTAATCTGGGTGAGGTCAGAGAATATCTTACTGTCTTTCTTGCTTTCCTCCCCCATTTCCTAACACATTCAAGGGCTGTTCTCTCTGCCCATTCCCATTATACAAAACAAATGTTCCCGTAGAGGTATCGCCATGTCTATGTAAGGTATGTTCAATATTTGTACAAGGTGCTTATCTCAGCACCGACGCTGACGTTTGGGTCGCAACGCAGCCATCTCACTTTCTATTTCTCATCAAATCTGGCCCAGAGCTGTGTCGTGATTGTCAGCCATTGTACTCTTGCATTTCATTGCTGTAGACTTACCCGCAGCATACGCCATATACCATGTCCTTGATGCTCCACCATCGATCCAGTTGGGATCAAACTTGGACTGGGTGAAGAAAGTCCAGGCAGTCTTTGGCTGAACTGTTGCATAGTTGCCATAGATGATACCCTTCCACAGGTTGTTAAACTTGTCGACACGGCCCTTGCTAAAGTAAGTGTCCCATTCCTGCTGAACGAATGTGGCGGTTCGTGCGAAGTTGGACACGGGGAGGATAGGAATCATGTGAATGCCCTGGACTGCCTCAATGGCTGCGCTGAACCATGTTGTGTGGTGGACCTTGTTCTCGAACAGAATACCCGCGACCTTGTTGCCGATGAAGTTCTTAGGCTGCACGGTGTTGGACGTGGTGTAGTAGTAGTAGTCTTGCATAGCTCGTGACATGACGGCAAGCTGGAGGTTTGCTCTGTTCTGTTGTCAGTTGTCTGCGATCAAATTGCCTGGGCTGCCCAACTTACCTCGCGACCATGTTAGTGTCCTTAATCACTGTACCCCACATCTTCAGAGCATAAACAGACATCATATCCTCGGAACTCGATTCCTGATCCTTGCCATCCCACATGGGAGTCAGACCGTGAGCCCAACTGTGGCCGTGGTACCAATCGAAGCTTCGCCACATGGGAAAGTACTTGTCACTGCTGCTCGGGTTCGCATAATCACGAACCAGAGAGTTGACGTAGGCTTTGTTGGCAGCAAGCCATTTGCTATCCATAGAGCCAATATAGGCGGCAGCGAGGACGTGGTAGCCGTAATGGAAATGGTGATCATTGTAGTAGGTGTTTCCAAAGTCGGATCCTGCTTGGCCTGTCTTATAGGATGCAGATGAAACGACTCCGCCCCAGACGGCTATTCACCTGATTAGCTAACGTAAAACCCAGCTTTGACAAACGACTTACATTCGTAGACAAGAGGGTAGCTCTGCTTGTTCGAACCGAATCTGGCAAATGCCTGCTGAAGTTTGAGTAAGCCAGCCTGTGCCAGAGCCTTATCTCCCAGCATGTTGTTGATGACATAGATGATGGAACCAAACTTTGCCAGAGCCTACACTGTGTTAGTATATTTCTCATGGAAGCTTGACGAGGGAGTTACCTTTCCAGAAAAGTACATCGAGTCTGTGTTAGCCTGCGCGTCCATGTCTTGCGAGACCTCGGACTTGGCAATAGGTGCGATGATTTTCTTCGCATTAGCAGTCAGACCACGGCTACCTTTCGCTGGATCCCAGGGAGCAAAGCCCATGTCGACGGGCAGCGCAGACTCGACCATCGTCCAGGTGGTTCCTCCAACAGCAGTAGCAATACCCTTGGTAGGTGTCTGGAGCGAGTACGTCCTCATCTCCTTCTTGGTTGTAGCATCGAATGAGCTGACGTGGTGAGGAAGAGCAAAGACCCAAAGCTTTCCGGTAGCGTGGCCAGCTTTGGTCCATGTGAAACTGTAAGTGCCCTGCTTGCCAACAGTGTTGCCGCTGACTGTCATGCCAGTGGCATAGATACCGCAACCGTTGTCAAGAACTGCCTCGGACTGGCCAACCTTGGGATCCTTCGCAATTTGGATGAAGCCATAGAATGGCTTGGCCGAGGAAGCAAGACCGTTGTTGGTGACCTTGAGGGTAAGAGGGTCACCCTTGGTCTTGTAAGCGTACAGACGCCAGGTGGTTCCATCTTCAAGGACGAAGTTGTACTTGCGCACATTGGACTTGGGATCTTTTGTCACTTGTGTCATAGTTCTGAAGTAGACGCCAGTCTGAATCCAAGGTGTACCACCACTGAAGTACGCAGTCGTGAAGACGCTGCCTTGGTAAAGGGGAAAGGTGATCGTTGCTGCTGACTTGCTGTCCTTCTTGAGGTAAGCCTTGGCATAGTGAGGGCCAATAGAGTCCATAGTCAAGACCGTGTCCTTGCCAAGTTCCTTTGCCGAGATGATCATAGACTGGATACCAACAGGGTTGACGTAAAATTCGACGGCACCATTAGATTGCACGTCCCCATATGTACGTTGTGACGCCTCGATATGAGAGATAGACATGCCCCAGCTTGCTGCTGGGCCAGTGCCGCCCGCCCATGTGAGTGAGTAGGGGTAAGTATAGACAGGGTTCTTCTGATCACCAAGGTAGAAGTTGGAGTAAAACTTGTTCGTGCCAATAGGGCCGTTCTGAGTGACCATGGGCGTTTTGGCAACAGGGTGAGTAGTCTTCCTTTCGAACATCGATGGAGGAGCACTCGTATCGATGGGGTTGGCGAAGATGTTGGGAGCAGCAGCCATTTTGGAGAGACCAGATGGTACAGCGTTGCTTGTAGTAGACGTAAGTGGTTTAAGCAGACTTGTAGGGCTGGGGATCGACGTGCTCAGGACGGCGGGTTCTGTGAGAAGAGGATTGTATAGATCCGTTACAACGAAACCTTCGGTATGAGGCTCAACGTCTGAAAGAGTTGGAAGGACTTGAGCTGTCGCAGTGGTTCCAACCTTGCTAGTACTGACTTTGACGCTTTCGGTGACGGGAATGATATCCTCCTTGTCGTAGGTTGTCAAATACTGGAAAGCAGACGTTTCGATATCTCGCTTGAACTCTTCGTTAGAATTGTCCCAGGAATCAGCAGAGTCGTCTTGGCCTTGGGGCAGGGCTAGGACTTGTCCCTGGGTTAGCCAAAGAAGCCATACGGGCAAGATGGTGCGGGTCTTCATGATGGGCAAGTAAGGAGTGTGATGCTGCCTTGATCAAGAAGATCACAACCTCGATAAGACTTATGAGGCTGAATGAAGCTGGAGAACAAGCTGAAGGGTAGGGGTTCCATGGCTCATATAATATAGCTAGCCGCCCTACGCTCCAGGGTCTGCTCCTTTCCTTGAAGCTATCGAATGCGGAAAACCACTAGTCCAGTGGCACCACGACTGATAGAGCTAGCATGCACTTACATCGGAGAATGAAATGAAGTGGACTGTGTCTCGGCGGCACAAACGAAGAAACGCATGTGGCTTACCTGGAAGCTAGACCAAGCCTAGAATTGACCACCAAAAGAAATGCTGCACTAGCGGGTCAGTGTTGACAACGGGTGGTCGAGACCTAGCAGATGCGAGCAAAGATGGCGTAAGCGATGATGGGTAATAGGATTTAAGAAATTGGATTCTCTAGGATGGCGTAGGATGCGAATGTGATAGGATTCCGAAGTTGTGATGATGGGGTTGAAGTTGAACGAAAATGGCTGGAGGAATTCCATCTTTATCTTTTCCCCTTCAGAAGCCGATACCAGATAAGCTTGGCCATGTGCTCCCTCGGACCATCGCTCTTTCTGACCCTTGGGTATCATTGAAGCCCAGGAAAGAGCATCGTGAACAGTCGTGGCGGGGTCCTTTTTCGCATTCCAGATCAAGTGTCTGCGGCGCATGTTCTCAGTCTCACACACAGGGTTTGTGATCCATGGCGTGTCGTGATGCACCTCAAAGGGGAAATCGCCTAGATGCTCATCTGTGGCGTCCGCGTGTGCCTGCAGTAGAGGGGCCAGTTAATTGCCTAGCGCACGCCGCACTTGGGCATGGGCTGCAGGGTGCTCCTAGTTCCAGGAACTATCGATTCGCGACGAGTTAGCCTGGAGGACTATTCAAGGGATGGCTTCGGCTGAGCTCGCCACACCTTGCAAACTAAAGGTTCAAATTTGCTTCGGAGTTCAGCTACGGTGGTTTGGGTGAGCTTTCAACCTTATGAGTGGACGCCACTTGTGTCCTTCATTTATTTTCATGGCTTGCGTTCCCAAATCAAGTGTCAGCCTTGAGCGTTGATGGCTAAGTGGCTTCATAGCTAAAATATTTTATTGTTTTGCATATAATCCGTCCTTCATGCTATTACTTGAGTTAAAGAAAATTGTCTCTCAGCAGGAACATCACCAGTCTTGCTATGACTTCGCCTGACGAATATTCGCCTGATGAATACGAAGTCATTTGTCGTCTGTCCGGTGGCCAGACTCTCTTCTCCAGTCGCTTCATCGTTGATGTTGCATTCATGAAACAGACAATTCGATTTTGAACCGAGACAATCACTTGACTTCGTATGTTACGTTAGAGGCCGTTGAGACAACACTTGACTTGTGGTAACATTTACCCAAACACCAGGACGGAGGAGTTCGTTAGAAACTGAGACAATGATCTAGTGACAAACCGTTCCGGCGTGTCTCAAAGACCCCAAGGCCATGGGTCTCTAGCCTCTAGCACACTTTATCAATCACGGTGATTGCGTATCGCATTCCAGAACACGGCACAATACGCTTGACCATGCCAACCACTACTTGGCAACTCTCTTTTATTGTTTATTCTGGCCCAGATCTAAGAATGAACGCCCGCTAAAATGCCCTAGCAAGTACACCAGCGATCAGGAAATCCTCAGTTCATAATCCTAGCGCATCGTATTTGCCTTTTCCACCCTGCTCAAGAATCTGCCGAAGATCCAGCCGCATTTCTTTGTGCGGCTTCTGCTGCCGGATGGGCTGTTCAGCATGGCCCGCGGAATTCGATGTCTGCTTCGATGCTCGAGGCTCTACCGTTGCTTTGATGCGTTTTCGTTTCCTCTCCGCTTCCTCTTCACTCCGTTCAGCTTCCTTTCGACATCTTCGGATTTCACTGTTTCGTAGAACCCATGGTTTGTCAAGAACCTCGGACTTGAATTTGACCCTTTTTTCCCATAGAGTAACCTCTTGCGCAGTGCTTCGTACCTTGATCATCTTCTCAATGGTGAGTTGTCGCTCGTCTCTGAAAGTAGATAGACCTCCCTTAATGTCGACAATGCATCCGACATCAATATTTGGGAATGGGTCTGGGTTTTGAGGCGGGTCAATATCCGCTTTCTTCGGAGCAGCATCTCCTGTTGTCGCGCGACTATCACCTTCACCAGAGATTGGTATGGAAATGATGCACTCGATGCATGCGCCGCTACTGTCGTCTATTGTATACACACGTCGGCTTGCGAATTCGTCAATGGCGACGACTAATCCGATTATGCGCACCCATTTGATGGGCAGATTCCCATAGAAGTAGAAGTTTTCGCCTGGAAGCCGTCAGTCTAGAACATAGTGAAATATTCAACAGCCTAGACTTACCTTCAAACCCTTCGTACTGACCAAGGTCATGGATATCGGTTACACGAAAGAGGCACCATTGGTTCACGGTTGGCGCGAGATGAAAGCAATATCGAGGATATATTGGGGGCTTGGCGGATTCGCTCATGGCATCATGATAGCACTCTTCTTCAGATGAAGACTAAACCATTATTAAGCAGTGCCATTTAGTATCGCGCTCTTGCGTATCTTGTCGTGGTGACGCGTTTGAGAGCAGGTTAAACAAGTGAAGTGAGACCTGGCGATATTGACGGTGGCTTGAGAAGCCCCACCATAGCTTAGTGGACAACCGACTGACCCGTGACAACGTTACAGAATCATTGCATACTAGTGAAGTCGTCGAATTGCTGGGAATACTTGCCGCAACAAGTGTGAGTATTGCTATAGAATATACCAACGGTTAAAAGTTTTGCAAGGAAACTTGCTTTGGAGATATGAGGTTCGAGGTTCGTTAGGAGAACAAATCTGCTTCATGTCTGTTTGTCAATCATGTCCATGATTATTATACCACCTTCGTTGACTGAGGACTGACACTTTCCATCTGATCGAAAGAAAAGTGGCCAGAGATCACGCTACTCTCAGTAGTATTCTTGCAAGCTTAATATGAATCATTCAATTCTTCTCAGTCTCTAAATTCTTTCCTTGTCCTAGTAGTGTATCCTTGCCTTAACCTACGCCCAAACACCAAAATTCTTGACCCAATAGCCACATTACCGCAATCCGATATTGCAATCCACCTACAGTCTACCGTTTCGACCTCTTCGAGCCCTTCAGACGAGAAGCAGCTGCCTGAAAGGCCTCTTCCGACGGCTCATCTTCAACAGGCCGCTTCTTGCCCTTCTTGCCTTTGCCCTTGCTCTCTTTGGCACCATACTTTTCGGCGAGATGATCCAGGAAACTCTCTGAGCGATCTTGCTGTCTCTTTTGGATCAGTGCTGCCAGGTCGTCCTCTGAATTTCCCTTGCCCTTCTTCTTTTTGCTCTTCTTGTCGCCGCCGAAGAGCTTATCGTGCACACCTAGCTCCTTTGCGTAGTCTTCAGCCTCCGTAGCTTCAGCCCGGGCCTGCTTCACACGACCCTCTCGCTTCTTCTTCGACTCTTTTGTGTAGGCCGGGAAGCTGGGCACTTTCTTGATCTTGATGGCCGTGTCGATGATCTCACGGAAACGTTCGTCGTCCTCCAAAACGTCGCTTAGAATGACTCTCTCGTACAGCGCATCCATGTCGCCTTGGCAATGTTCGTACGCATCGAGCACATCTCCCTTCTCTTCATCAGAGCCTTTGTACTTCTTGGCAAACTTCTCGATCGCATCGCCCGACACAGACTCTTTATATTGCTCTCGGTAGTAGTCGCTCCAGTTGAATCCTTCAGAGTCTACGATCGATTCGGAAGTCGAGCCAGTCTCGTCATACCGTTTGCGACGGGCGGGGTCGGAGAGTATGGCGTAGGCGAACGCAATAGCTTGGAACTTCTCGTGCGCAGCATCTTTCTGGTCTTGTGGCACCTTATCTGAGGAACAGTAGGGTTAGCGTTGCTCGTCTGTGCTGAGACCGATTTGACAAACCTGGGTGGTTCTTAAGCGCAGCCTTTCGATAAGATTTCTTGATGTCATCGCTCGTCGCAGTCCTCTCGAGGCTCAAAACCTCATATGGGTCAATAGTGGGAGGTTCGCTCTCCAGCACATCTTCGTGGTCCGACATCGTATTGATATCGTCGATTTTGGTTGATCGTGTAATGGAGTGTAAGTTCGATTAAGCTCGAGCTTGTTGCAGGAGTAGGAGACGCGTTGCGACGCGCTCACGGGAAAAGTGTGGGTCCAATGTTAAAGTGCTTTCGGTGATCGGAGTTTACACCCGCCGACCGTTCAAGATGGATCAAAGCTCCCGCATCGAGACATTTCGTCATACCTTACAAGCACCACATTAATCAATATGGCTACAATAGAACCTGGCAACCACAAGGCCGCAATGGAGCGCGCCTTGGGTCTGGCCAACAACTCCCCTCCCAAGCCCACCAACTTCCGTGTAGGAGCTCTAATTGTGCGGCTTAGCGACAACACCATCGTTGCCGAAGGATACACTCTTGAACTTCCCGGAAACACCCATGCAGAAGAGACATGTCTATTGAAGCTGGCTGAGCAGCATGGAACCACAGAAGAGAAGCTATCAGATGTCTTCAACACCCCCCATGCTCTATACACCACTGTTGAACCCTGTTTCAAGCGGCTGAGTGGCAAACTCCCCTGCGTCGAAAGAGTCTTGCGCCAAAAGTCATGGATCAAGCAGGTCTATGTTGGCGTTCAGGAGCCCGAGACTTTTGTTGGGGAGAATACAGGTCGCAAAACGCTCGAAGATGCCGGTATTGAGATCCACCATGTCTCAGGCTTGGAGGATGAGATTCTCAAGGTTGCGACTGCAGGGCATATCAAATCATGAACTAAGTTATTCGTGTGAGATCAAACTGCTCATTCATGGGCGTTAACGAGTAATGGACGGTCTTGTGGCATATTGGATAAATTTGTCAGTTGGATCTGAGATGAGGTGAAGGAAATGGCAAGTACCACCCCTATATTACCATAGCATCTCAAGCTAATCGACCTTGTTCCCTTAGAAAGCTATAGTTTAGTTCTATCCTCAGCACTTAGTATTGATACATGCTACGCTGCTCTAAAGGGCTGTCCTCCCCGGTATGCTAAGTTTGCCATATATCAGTCAATACATCAAGTCAGAAGGTCAGCTATCAAATTTGCCGAATTGCATACGGTGCACCAATCATCAGTCGATTTATGCTGTTCAACGCCAGCCACTATAGTACAGATCTGTCCTGATCGGCAAGCGTTGAGTTCCGCTAGCAGACCCTATGTACCATGGTGTGATTGCGGTTGCCACGTAGCACACCGGTTAATCCATCTGTGCAACGTTGAACAAGATGCTTCCATCTTTTGTCTTTGATATTGACCTCATATATGTGAATTTTCATCCCTGGATGCACTATATTCCTGCTACTGAAGCACAAATGATGTCTTCACATGACCTAGTTACCAAATTACCATCTTTTCAACGCTGAAATTCATTTATTGCCACTCTCTTCAATACAGGTATTTCAAGTATGAACTTTCAATAACCCCTTGTAAGTCTGGAGCGAAAGACAGAACTGAACCATGCCGTCCAATCTTCTCAGTGTAGTTCCTCAGGGGTGAGAAGCTGAACACCTAGATTCTCGCAGGGTCTTTTCTTCGCTTCTTCGTGCTTCGTATCCAGGCATTTTCTATATTACAAATCCAAATGTGACAAATGATCTTGGCGAGAGGTTGTGAGTGAAATGCGTTTGCCTTTGACGTGCACATGTAAAAGGAGGGTTCTATACAATTCAACACATGTGCTTGGGGAGAAATTTATGCTAAAAATACAGGACGACCATACTAGGCTTTGTCCTTGGTGTAAAATTCTTCTAAGTTTCCGTATCTGAGATACACTTGGACTTGTGCGCCGAATTGACCAAAACGAAGACTTGATGCCTCTGCTATCGACCCTTGTCTCTCCCTCTTCTATGTGATCTCTTTTCGCTACTTCCGTGCTCCTCTTTGATCTCAACACATGTAACTTGGCACTCAGCACAGAGTGCCGTAGGAACCAGGAGGGTGTGCCATGTGAAATATTGGCAGCTGGGCTTGAGGTATCGGTTTAGAACCTGTTCCGGAGGTCCGTTCGCAATCCACCATTCGCATATGTCCCAAGCAATTGTATCTACTTCGATCTTGCATACATGCCCATGGGTGATAAGTCTGTGAGGAACTATCCCTTTCTTGGGGCAATGGGTGCGTCTGCAGGGGCAGATATAGAAGCCGCGTTGACCGGTGCACATGGTATTTCTTAGGTTGGTGAATGCCATTCCCACTCCTGGGGCTTTTGGAATATGAGATGACTGGTGCCTTGATTTGTTCTATATGTACTGGGATCATAAGAAGAGTCTTGAGGCGATTAATGGAGTCTTTTCCTGGGCAGCTCATTTGTTGAAGTCTGTTTTGTCTACCCGGCTGTTGGTTCTATGGTGTGAAGAAAGATGCATTGACATGATGGACGGCATGGCAACTATTTACATTGATCGAACTGTGGTTGAACATGATGATAGATTCCAGTGTGTTTTGCTTGGAGTTTAGAATTATGCGGGAAGCCGAGCATCGCTCCAGCCGTAATGAGTGTAGAATACCGAGAGTAAGGTGATCAATACATAAGTTCTTACTGAGAATGGCAGTGTTGCCAGAGCCTGAGATTCCGAGGTCTTGAACAGAATGATTAAGAGTGTCATTTCGGTTCTGAGTTTCATCATATGGTTCAGGTTACACAGCACATCTATGCAAGTTGTAGGTCAATCCAAGCAAAGGCTTAGCATAAAGCGAGCAATACCTGAGGTACTCAGTGGGCCAATCCCCTTGTGCGATGCGATGTGCCTGTAATTGCTCAAACTCAAACATCTAGCATGTGTTGTATGTTTGGTTATGCGAGCCCGCAGGGTTGGTCTCGCATATGGCAAATTGTGTGGACGAATTGCTGATTTCAGGCGTACCAAGATCCAACGGAGCAAGCACAGATCGTAAGTTCTTTGGTGATGGCTGAGCATGGGACGGCTCGCGGAAATGTTGTCCGACAGCAACTGTGCTACGGTTAATATTAGAGTGTATACTTGTAAGGCAAGGATTGCTATGATTGTGACCTGCATTCAACCGTAGAAGCAAAGATAGGTTGCCCAGACTGCTTCTGAGGATCTATCATTTGACAACGGGACAATGATGCTAGATTGAGCTGATGGCCTTCGCTATTGGAAACCGGCGGTCAGGGCTGATTTTGATATCGTGGCTTGGTAGTCCACCTCAAAGAAGCAAACATGCTATGTATCTCTGCAACATTACTGAACTGATAAAGGGGGGTTCTGCACTGCATCAACAAAAGCTCCGAGTGTGTGGTACCTGCAAGTGACTTTTGTTTCCAATAATGAAAAAATGGGCGTGATTGAGTTTCTCTAGGGTAAACAGTTATCATTGAAGGTTAATGACAGGTGGAAAGCCTCGTTAGCCCAGCGAACTAAAACATAACGTACAACGTCATGGAAACCTTGGGAGGCCGACCATTCTAAGGGCTACAAAAAATACGTCTGGCGCATGGAGAAAGAAAGGGCGAAACCTAACTCTTCCCTTTTGCGTTTTTTTGCATGTTTTCTCTCGCTTTGACAAGTTTGCCCTCTGTCAATTGAACTTGAACCACCTCAATTATTCAGTGTCAGTTAGCTTCAGCTTGCTCCACCAGAAACGGGTGAGCTCTCTAGCTGCCGTGTTAGTTCTCCCGCCAGTCCCTGACTACAACCGACCTCTTTGAACTCCTCTGCAGCTGTTGCCGAAGAGCCTCTTTGTCATTTTGGTAGAGGCAGTGAGTAGGCCACTTTTACCTTCTGTCGATCAGTCACTTCTTAGAGAGCCAGGCTGTGTCACAGCAAACAAGGTTGTGACTGCTTTGGCAATGATTCACACTGGCGAAGAGCCTCTCTCCGGGTCTTTCACATAAAGATGCCCAACTCCTCCTCCTCCTAAACTTACACTCTCACACACACTCATACCTGCTCACCAAAACCCTTCATTCTTCTCTCATCATCATCATCATCAAGTGACAGTCTTTTGGAGCTTGATTCTTTTCATCAATTTTGACTATTAGTATCTACATCACATTCTCTACACATCGCTCGCTGCCCTTTACATCCTGCTACCTTCTAGCCCTTGACTATCCAAACCTCAAAGGCCATGGCTGACCGAGGTGGTCGTGGTGGGCGAGGCCGCGGAGGCCGTGGCGGTGGACCTCAAGATGGCCGTGGTGGTGGCCGTGGCGGCCCTTCTGGTTTCTCTGACTCTAGAGGTGGAAGAGGACGAGGCGATGGCTTCCAGGGCAGAGGTCGTGGTGATGGAGGCCGTGGTGACTTCCGAGGCGGCTTCAGCGGCCCTAGAGGCGGTCGCGGAGGTTACGATCGTGGAAGAGGAGGACCACGAGGTGGTCGTGGCGGCCGAGGCGGCTTTGGTGGTCAGCCCGAAGGACCTGCTGTCTTCACGTATGTTCTATCTTATACCCGATGTGTTGTCGTTGATCAATACTAAATTATGTAGCACGGGAAAATCTATTCCCCAACCAGATGACACCATTGCACAGCTTGAAGATGAAGTGGTGAGAAGCCAGGCCATATCTGTCGCTCAGCTCACCTCCAACATGGGCAACCTGTCAATGGAAGATAAACAGAACCTCGGAAAGTTCCCTCCGCGACCTGCCTTTGGCAGTAAAGGAACCCCAGTCATACTCTGGACGAACTACTATCAGGTCAAAACTCAAACTCCCGTCCTCTACAAATACACGATGACTGTCAAGGAAATTGTTCCCGAAGGACAGGAAGAGACAAAGGAGCGCGTCCCCAAGACTAAGGGCAAGGGAGGCAAGCCTGCAAAGTCTCGAGAGTCTGGTCCTCGCGAGGTCAAGGGCCGTAAGCTCTACCTTGTCATCAAAGAAGCTCTCAATGAACTCTCCAAGAAGGACAAGAACTTGCTCCTTGCGACTGAGTTCAAGTCACAGCTTATCTCGTTGCGCAAGCTCAACCTTGAGCAAAACAACACCATACGCTTCAACATGCCCTCTTCAGAAGGCTCCGAAAAGACAGATGTCTTCGAAGTTGTTTTCAATGGCCCTATAGAGGCTCGTGTTGACGAGATGCTCAAATACGTCAACTCAAAGACTGGCGCTTCAGATGACGGCAGCGATCCTTCCCAGGCCATGACCTACCCCAAGTTCCCTGATGTCATTGATGCCCTGAATGTCATTTTCGGCTTTGGCCCACGGTCAAAGCTTGACGAGATCAGCGCTGTGGGAAGCTCGCGCTTCTTCGCATTCGGGAGCGAGAGCCGCCGAAACGAGGTGATATTGGGCAGACTCAGAGCTTTGAAAGCTGCGCGCGGCTACTTCCAATCCGTCCGCTTGGCCACTGGCCGCCTTCTCTTAAACGTCAATGTCACTCATGGTGTCTTCAAGATTGATGGTCCCTGTGCCGCGTTCTTTGACGGGTTCGGTGTTCACGCAACTCCGTCACCTGAGATGGCCAGAAAATTGAAACTGCTCAACAGATTTCTTCCCAAGACCCGCGTCTGGATAAAGACCAAATACGGGAGTAAGGAAGTTCGAAGATCCAAGGCAATTCATGGCCTGGTGTCGATCCGCGACATCAACAAACAATGTCGCGATAAGACTCCCAAGTTCCGCCACGGGACAGATTTTGTGGTTGGACCAGGAGATGTTAGCTTCTGGCTGGAAGATGAGGGTAACAGCCGGTACATTACCGTCGCGGATTTCTACAAACAGAGTATGTTTCACCCTCCACATTCGATACTGATCTAACATGTGATCTAGAGTACAACGTTAACCTGAAAAACTACCCCCTTTTCAATGTTGGCACTGCCGCAAAGCCTACCTTTGTCCCTGCCGAGTTCCTCGAAATCCAGCCTGGGCAGTCAGTAAAGGCTAAGCTCACCGGTGCCGAGTCAACTGACATGGTGAATTTTGCTTGCCGAACCCCATATGCCAACGCTCTCTCGATTACCACGGATGCCCGAGAAACCCTCGGGCTTGACGATGACACACTGGTATGATTTGTGAAATTCGGAAGTGGGAAATGCTAACTTCTCTAGGGTCATTTCGGCATTCAAGTTGGTCGACAACTCCTCACGGTTCAAGGACGCGTTCTCGCCGTGCCTCGAGTTGCATACCTCGACCAACAGAAGAAAGCCAAGACTGTCGACCCGCGCAATGGAGCTTGGAACCTCAGAGATGTCAAGGTTGTCAAGCCCGGCCAACCCGTCAAGAAATGGACCTACATCAACATCCTGTCCAGCCCTAGATCTGAACCCGTGGGATCTCAGTCAGTTATTGCGTTCTCCCAGTTCATGAAGAAGACCATGAACATCGCCGTTAATGACCCTGTTCCGCTGAAACCCGACTATGCCAACAGCCGGGATGTCGAAAAGGTATTCGTTTTGGCCCAGAACAACCAAGTTGAGATCATTCTTGTGATTCTTGACTCAACTGATTCGGAAATGTATGGCAGGATCAAAACCTTGGGCGACTGTACTTATGGTATTCATACCATCTGCGTTCAGGGTTTTCAGCTGCGTAAGGAAAACCTCCAGTATTTCGCGAATGTTGCTCTCAAGTGGAATCTGAAGACTGGCGGTGTCAACCACAAACTTCACAATGAGGTCGGCTTGATCAAAGAGGGCAAGACAATGGTGGTTGGCTACGACGTTACACACCCCACCAACATGTCTGCCGACAAGAGCGATGCTGCACCCAGCTTGGTTGGCTTAGTGGCAACTGTTGACCGGGACATGGGACAATGGCCAGCCTACTCCTGGGAGCAGTCGTCCAAGCAGGAGATGCTTGATGAGACCTTGACTGAGGCATTCAAGTCCCGCCTTGAGCTTTGGCAAAAGCACAACCGACAGGAGTTGCCAGAGAACATTGTCATCTTCCGCGACGGTGTGTCCACTGGCCAGTTCGCCCAGGTTCTTCGCACAGAATTGCCACGCATCCGCATTGCGTGCAATGGCAAGTACCCGAAGAACAAGCCTCCGAAAATCTCCATCATTGTGTCTGTCAAGCGACACCAGACTCGCTTCTATCCCACCTCCGAAGAAAACGCAATGGAGAAGAACCACAATACCCAAAACGGCACGGTCGTCGACCGCGGTATCACAGAGGCTCGCTACTGGGACTTTTTCCTCACCGCCCATGCAAGCATCAAGGGCACTGCCCGTCCTGCGCACTACACAGTGCTTCTTGACGAGATCTTCCGAGCCAAGTTCAAGAGCGAGGCAGCCAACGAGCTTGAGAAGTTCACTCACGAGCTCTGCTATTTGTTCGGGCGGGCCACCAAGGCTGTGAGCGTTTGCCCTCCCGCCTACTATGCGGACATTGTCTGTACTCGCGCTCGAGCTCATCGCCCCGAGTTCTTCGAGGAGACCGACGGGGAGAGCGTCATCACTGCTGGATCAGCCGCTAAGGGCAAGGCAGTCCACCCCAGACTGATCAACTCCATGTACTATATCTAATGTGCTGTGTCCCGTGGAACCTTTGCGCACATTGTTTTCTGGAAGCCTGTGAGCTTATGGGGGGGGGGGGGGGG